CCATATGAAAGACTGGTCTTGGCTCCTGCTGCACAACATCCTATATCCTCTCCAACAAGCAAAAGCTGGCCTCAGTGAGCCCCAGGCCTGGCACTAGCAGCAGCCAGCCTAAATTCACAACTTGGTGTTGCCTGGGAATCTCTAAGCCCAGCACAAGTAGCAGCCATCATGGATTACTTTACAGCTTAGGCAGGGTGGCTCTGGGAAAAACACAGGTGGGGACTGACCTTGGCCTGCACCACCTAAAAAACCCCAGGGCCAGTGCACCCAGTGGACAGGTACAGACTACATCAGAACACCACCATCCTGCCCTTGCACAGCTGATCTTCCGCAGAGGGTGGAGGGTGGAGGGTGGTTGTCAGTGGTCACAGACAATGCTTGCAGCTCACTGGCCTGGGTAAATTCCTCCTGTTGATCTGCCAACAATAATAGCCAAGGCTGAACTACAAGAGGAAGGTATACTCAGCCCACACAAAGAGCACATCTCGAGTACCCAGCTTGGACCCTACTGGACCCTACAGCACACCTACTACAGTAGCCCACACTACCAAGACATGGAGTCAAAGCAGCTCTATCTAATACATAGAAACAAACACAGGGAGGCTGCCAAAATGAGGAGACAAAGAAACATGGCCCAAGTGAAAGAACAGATCAAAACTCCAGAAAAAGAGCTAAATGAAATGGAGATAAGCAATCTATGAGTTGCAGAGTTCAAAACACTGTTTATAAGGATGCTGAAGGAACTTAATGAGGACCTCAGCAGCATAAAAAAGATCTAGTCAGAAATGAAGGATACACTAACTGAAATAACGAACAATTTTCAGGGAAACAATAGTAGAGTGGATAAAGCTGAGAATCAAATCAATGATTTGGAATATAAGGGATAAACACACACACACACACACACACACACACACCTCAAAAAAACAATCAATCAGAACAAGAAGAAAAAAGAATAAAAAAAAAAATGAGGATAGTATAAATAGCCTCTGAGACAACTTCAAGAGGTCCAATATTTGCATCATAGGGGTTTCAGAAGGAGAAGAGAAAGAGCAAGAACTTGGAAATCTATTTGAAAAAATAATGAAAGAAAACTTTCCTAATTTGGTGAAGAAAATAGGCATAGAAGTCCAGGAAGCACATAGAATCTCAAACAAGGTACATCATAATTAAAGTGCCAAAGGTTAAAGATAAAGAATCTTAAAAGCAGCAAGAGAAAAGAAGTTAGTTGCCTACAGGGGAGTTCCCATAAGACTGTCAGCTGATTTCTCAAAAGAAACCTTGCAGACTAGAAGGCATTGGCAAGACATTCAAAATCATGAAAAACAGAGACCTATAGCTAAGACTTCTCTACCCAGCAAAGCTATCATTTAGAATCAAAGGGCAGATAAAGAGCTTCCCAGGCAAGAAAAAAACTAAAGGAGTTCATCATCACCAAACCATTATTATATAAAATGTTAAAAGGACTTATTTAAGAAAAAGAAGAATATCAAAACTATGAACAATAAAATGGCAAAAATACATATCAACAATTGAATCCCAAAAACAAATTAAGCAAGTAAGAACAGAAACACAATCATGGATATGGAGAGTGATTTGATGGATGTCTGATGGGAGGGGAGCATGTGGGAATGGGTGAAGAGTTTACAAGATTAAGAAGTACAAATAGGTAGTTATAGAATAGCCATGGGGATGTCAAGTACAGAATAGAAAATGGAGTAGCCGAAGAACTTATACGCATGACCCATGGACAAGAACAATGGTGGGGGGATTGCTTATACGCATGACCCATGGACAAGAACAATGGTGGGGGGATTGCCTGAGGGAGTGGGCGGAGCTGGATGAAAGGGGGGCAAAGGGGGAAATATCAAGACAATTGTAATAATCCATAAAATATAATTTTTAAAAAAGACAGGGGACCGGTGATAAGTAGGGTGACTATCATGTAATACATAGGAAGTCAGGGAAGGCTTCACATCAAAGGTTATGTTTAGACTGAGTTTCAAAGGGCAGGTAACTTCCCATGAGGAAACGGAGTTGAACACTGATGCTGAGCGAATGGCCTGTACAAGGCGGGGTGTTTGGAATAGAACAGACATTTTCAGGAAATGATGAGCACAATACTTCGAAGGTTTATGGTCTTCTATGATCGAGTGCTGCATCTTATCATACCTCTGGCCCTGAAATATGGATAGCTGCAAGGAAAGGAGCATATTTTAAGAGTAATTTTTGTTAAGCCCAAGGGCTAAAGACTCACCCTGTATATGAGGAACCAATTTCTAATATGCTTTTAGATGGACAGAGAAAATACATTCACAATCAAGGTCACCTTTCCCCAGGGTAGTCAGCATCAGCACAAAGGTGGGGGCAAAGCCTCACAACTGGACCTAAGGGCACAGCAAGCCCCAGCATCTTCACTGGTGTTACTTCTCCCAGGTTGCATCTCTATCCTCACTATTTGTCAGCTGTGGGAAGACAGGTGCCATGTTTCCATTGTTGTTACTCAGTGGTGAGCACCAAATAGTTGCTCAAAAATACTGGTTAAGTACATGGGTAATGGGACCAGCATCTGGTGCTTTCTGAAGGACAAAGGGTTTCTATCTTCCATGTCTCCAAAGGAACACTTCTCTGAGTTCCTGACTGTAGTAATACATGAACTGTATTCTTCCTGGGCATGTTAGTAGACAAGACCACTGTTTTGAGTAGGTGGGACTGTGACCAGGTCTAGCCCATGAAGCAAGACACGAAGTGATGGGTGCTACTTCCTGGATGAGCATTTGAGTGGGTAGACCACCTCCAAACTCTCAGCAGTGACCCTGGGTTCATTTGTTGAGATGATAACATCTTTGGACAGATGGAGGAGCTTGGATTCCTGAATCTCCAAATGAAAGGTCACCCCTTTGCCCCACACTTCCTCTAACTGGGAATATTGAAGAATTAAACCTCTTTTGTGCTAAGGTGGTACTTTTTTGCAGCCCTACCATGACTAATGTCAGTAAATCCACTTCCTCTCCATAAGACAGAGAGGGAGTATGGATTAGACATGAATGCAATAAAAAAAAAATCATTTATTAAGTATTTGATGGAGGCCATGAGAGGACAGCTAAGCTTTATAATAGACAAGTCTATTATGTCACTTTCTCTACTCTAGATAGAGAATTAAACTTCTGAACCTGCAGATCCAGAAAAGGTGGGGTATCTCTTGAGCACTTGAAAATGTAAGTTGCTAAGAATGTAATTCTTGGATGATCATTTTTGGCCTTGCTAATCAGGACGCTCAGAGCCAAATACGTGGCTTATGTGCGGCCTCCTGGAATGCATTTTGCCAATTCCCTTCTATTATCACTTTGCTACTCAGTCCTTTCCCTTGGGTCCTGATTTATCTAACTTTGTTTTCTCTGTTTTATATCCTGTTGTGAGTAAAACTTTCCTTTGTGAAGGGGATAAAGAAGATGAGAAACAGTGAGAACCAGATTTTTAGAATGAGCTCAGAACAAATAACCCATGAATCTTTGTCTCCTAACACTGAAAGCAGATAGCATAAATCAGCTGAGTTTAACAATTGGTGGTGTTGCTACTGCTTTACTCTTATTCAAGGTTTCATGACTATTAATTTTTCCTTTGCTTTATAACAGGCTAGCTCAATGATGACAATTACTGGTGCAGGATGCACAGTAGGATAGTTTGTGGCAGTGGTTGTAACTTGCAGTTAGTTTAAAATAACTGTGCTCATGGATTCAGGGTCCCCAGATGACATTAATCACTGGCATTTCCTCCTTCTGAACTTCATACACCACTTTGATTCACATTTTTGATGGAAAACATTCCCTCCATAAAATTCCCCTAGTTGGTGATAAATCCCCAATGCAGAAATATGAACATTTTCAAATCCCAGCTCACACCTCACCTTAACTTTATCTTTGCCTTTCATACTTGTGTAGATTCAGTGGCTTGAAATCTCTTGTATCTATGCATTGAAAGGCAATGCTGCATTATTGCTACATTTATCTGTAGTTATATCTATAAATGATCTACAACAGATGCACATAGACACATGTGAAAAAAATTCTTTATTAATTTCTCACATTTTATTACAAAATGTATGTTGCAAACAACTTGAATAACCTACTTGTGTGTTTTTTGTTGTTTTTTAAACCCTTGGCTTCAAGAACTCAGGAGCTCCCTGACTTTTACCAAGTATTGGGAGACACTGATTATTGGAGTCAATAGGTTATCACTTTGCTATTTATTTTCTTCTCTCAAGCTCTGAAAAAAAATGTCCTCTGTATAAATTAAACAAAAAAAAATGTTGTAAATTCTATGTCATTACAGTCAACAGAATTATAATAATGCATCCAAAATGTGCGGCCACAAAATATCAGGTATATGTTTGAAAAAAGAAAAAAATGACATTCTAGCCTTGTTAAAAGGATAATGGTCCCATATTTTTATTAACAGGTTAGCAAAACAAAATCCCATGGATTACAATATTTACATGTTATTTGAAAAATAAAGTAGTGATAAAAGCATGTCACAATTATTTTCTTTTTTTCCTTTTTCTTTCTTTCCTTTTTTTTTTCTTTTTTTTTGTTTGTTTTTTGGTAATCATAATAAACACCCAATCCAGGTATGGAACTGTTTAATACATTTGAAATGAGGCCAATTAAAAACAAATATGGACACAAAATGAATCTTTGTTTAGATAGTTCACACTTTCCCCATTTTCTGGTTTCCACGTGATGGCCCTCATCCCTAAAAAAAAAAAATTAAATTAAAATAAATGTCCTACAAATAAAAATTCTTAATAGCAAGAAAATAAAAGAAGAACATGCTTTTCAAGTAAGCACTTATTCCACAAATGCAGTATCTTTCCATGGATTTTATTTGAAGCTATGTGGGACACTGTCATCTCAGCGATTCCCCTTCCCTTTCTTCCCTCCCCCTCCCCCAACCCTTCCAAGTTAAAAAAAACAAAACAAAACATGAAAACCAAAGGACTCTCACACTCCCACACACACCCACACATGCCCACACGAGAACACACACATTCAAGCACACAAGCACACAGGCTTCTAAAACCTAGGCTTCAAGGAAAGTTCTTTTCTACTTTTTGGAACGAAAACTCTCTGTTCACAATCAGAACATATTATAAACGTAGACTTAGATTTCGTCTAAGCTGCTCCCTCCTGAAAAAGCTAAGGTGGGGAAACAGAGCAGCTGGCAGCTAGAGTTAAACAAACAGAAAAAAAGCAGTTCTCCAGGCTCCTTGTAGGATGTAAGTATTTCTTGTCCACTCACACCAAAAGGGATGGGATCCCCTTATCCCCCAAAACACAATGCAAACAAAAACAAAACACAGATTTTAAATCACACACAAAAGCCAGCCCCTCCTAACAGAAATGATTTGTGTGAGACGGAGAATGTGTTTTTGACAAGCAACAAAAGGGTGAAGAGGACTTCCTCGTCTGGCCCACAAGCTGCATAGCTGTGCCGAAAAGTTTGGTTCTTTAGTTAAATTAAAAAAAAAAAAAGAAAGTTAACTTCTTTGTTATTTCCATGTTTAAAATAAAAACATTCCTATTCACAAAAAACTAAATCTCCCTTGCCCCCAAATTAAAACAACAATAACAACACACACACAAAAAAATTTTATATGAAAAACTGAATTGTGCTGTGTTTGTAACACTCAAACTGATAGAAAATGAACATGTGGCAAACAAAACTCCACAGTCACCTTAAAATTAGCTCATATGAATCTAGCAAATTCTAAATTATAGTTGAACACTAATAAACAGCTTACCTGGAATAAAGGATGACAATTCACAAACAGTTATCTAATAATTAAAGTCTGTTTCTTTTTTTTGTTTTGTTTTTTACTAAAATAATTAAAAAAATCACAGTATTTTAAGAAATAAAACCCACATGGGGATTTTAAGCACAATTTGTGTTCCTTTCTTTAAAACTCTTTTTTTTTCTCCATTCACCATCTTGCCCAGCAGTTCTCTCTACATTTAACCACGACGACGACAGGTAGTACTGACAAATGCAGAGAATTCCCTTGGTTAAGTTTGAGGTACTAGGAAACAGGTGACTGTTTTATGCAAAGCAGTTTTTTTGTTTTCTGTTTTTTGTTTTTTTGTTTTTTGTTTTTTCCCAAAGCGGCTGCAGTTAGGTCTTGAAAAAGCTTAAGGTATTAAAACTAGAAAAACGCACTGAAAGTTGTGCGTTGAAAAGTTGTTCCCCTAAGAAGTCTTCTACTGTCACGGAGCTTCCGTTTCCACATACTGTCCAAGACCACCACAGAGCGCACCGTGCGCATGGGAGGTGCTTCCGTATTCTGCAACAAATCAAACTTCCATGATGAAGATCCGGAAGAAAAGATGTAGTGATGGAAAAGGAGCCACATATTCCAACCATTTAAATAACTTTAATTTACATACTCACTCACACAGGTACCAGTGCTTTGAAAATAGATTGTTCAGTCCTAAAAAGCAGCTTTGTTCTGTCTTCTCGTTTCTGTCCCCCACTTCTCAGCCCAAGCTGGCCCGCCCACTTTTCATCATGGTTCAAGTAAGGTGTAATTAAGAATTTCACCAAACGCTTATTCGTTTTTGGCCTCTGTATTCTCCAGGAGAGATTTGTCAGCAGCTACTACACAGATGGCTACTGTCTCATTCTTTAATGAAAAGTCTATCCCGATTGCCTCATCATCTTCCTTTTCCTCTATAGAGGGCATCTTAATACTGTCCTGCACACTCTCTTTTAGGTGGATTTCTTCTCTGCTAACCTGCTTGGTGTCATTCAACGCCCTGGAAAAACATGGATGGTAGAGACAGATAAGTATACATTTTTCCTAAGAAAACAAAAAAAGACTCAAATCCTTATTTCCCTGGTCCTAAAAAGGCCTTGTTTCCTTGGAACAAATACCACAAATGTATTGCTAAATGGTGAGTGATTTATCCTTGCTACATGTTATGCTTAGGTCAAGTATTTCTGGTATTTAGCCTACAAAAATATCCACTATTATGCTATGTTTTGATTACATCATGTTTTGTTTCCAATTAACACAATTTTTTTTATGTTCCCTCCTCTACTGGGAACAGTGTGAAGTCTTAAGTGGTAACAGCAAGGATTGTCTTATGCTGAAACTTATTTGTGGAACCTGGAAGCTAGGGGATTGGCTATGTTTATTAAGGCTCAAAGAGCAATCCGGGTATTAAAGATTTAATGGACAGGTCCAGAAACAAATCACAGAAATAAACCAAAAGCAAAAACCTGAAGATGAAACCCATGCCTTGGGAAGCTAAGTTTTATTCCTTGAAGTTTTAGACACTTCAGGTTTCAAGGGTATTATCTGCTAGAAGGACCAACTCGTCGGATCTGTGTCCGGGGAACTAAGAGTATCTTGCGCAGAGGGCAATTTTATGTTTAAGGATCTTATTAAGTGTTTTACAGGTATGCTCCCACCTACCTGGGAGGCAGGCAGAAGCTGGCTCTGTCCCCGAGGCAGAGCACTGAAGGCACCAAGAGGTGCGTGGGAATGTTCAAGGCCACTCAGGGAATGAGTCATCAGAGGCAGGAGCAGAAGCCAGATCTTTTGACCCCGGTCCACGCTCTATCAGAGAATGTCACGCTAATGAAAGCTGAAGGGACACGGGCTGGAGAAAGCGCGAAACTTCTACGCGAGGGCTTGAGTGGGATTCGTCATTCGTATCAAAAAAAGATTTTTCATTTGACTTGTGTCTGGGTGACCATTTTAAAAACCAACAAAAAAGGAGAAACCTAGTTCCTGACACCTGTCTCTCCTCCCATGCCCAGAAATGTGACACAGAGGGGTCTGGGTGTCGTCAGGGGAACCGAAAAAAAAAAATAAATAAAAAGAACCTGGTCTCCCTACCACCCCACACTCTGGGCAAAGGCGTTCTTGAGATGGCTCAACTTACATGCCGTGTCTCAGCACGTGCCTTTCCCACTCAGAGCCCTGTGAAAATGCCCGTCCACAAAATTCACATGGAAAACGCTTCTGAGTGTTGATAGCAGCCCCATGGTCAGAAAATCTCATCAGATCTGTAAGGAGAAAGTAGAACAAGTGTTACCTGTGGGCTGGGAGTAGGCAGAAGGCATAAGCCTACATTCATGAGGAAACCGCCTCTCCTTCCTTCCTGTGTAAAAGCATTCATGAAAGCAATTTCCAGATTCCTTATTCTTTCTTCTACCTGGCTTTCCACCTAAGGGCATTTCTGGACTGGCTCTCGAGAATTGTTCCTGGTTGCCAGGACCTAAGTGTCCCCATGCCTCCCCTCTCCAGCTGCTTCAATCACAAATAATCTGGGTCATTCTAATGGTGTCTCGGCATTTTTTTTTCCTATCCAATCTCTCCATTCTGTGGTCTATCAGTGCCTCATGGTTAGCACCTATTTGTTTTCTATTTGACACGTTTATCTTTGCTCACTAAAAAGAATATAGGCTCCTGAAAGCACCAGACCAGGTTACACATAGACCTCAGGGTTCTGACCCCCTCCAGGTGAGAATCCCTTCCTGACTCATGAACGGTGGTGGTTTGTCATGAATGTCATAATCAACACCTCGCAGGGTGGCTCCAACCACTGAATGAGAGTGGCAAGCAAAGAACCTAGCAAGACCGTGAATCCAGGACAATGGGAGGCCAATGTGTGAAAGAAAGCATGTCCTCAGCTAACGAGGGATCCTGGCCAGCTGCCCGGCATCTACTCCTCAGTTGTAAACATCAAACATTGACTGTCGTCATTTTTGTCCCCTCCATGGCGCTGGGCACAACTTAGAGGTCTGATAAACGTGGGTTGGGTGGCTAATTGTGTACAGGCCACTCCTCCTGGCAAACTCAAAGATGAGAGCTTAAACGGCCTTTGTGTGACCCTGAGTCCCAAGCCCATATGTCTTTCATTATAACACAGGGGGCCAGATTTTCCCGTGGGTTATAAACTGCAGGACCTAGACAGCTCTGCAGCCATGCTGCAGAATGAGGGCAGTGCACAGGGCAAGGCTGACCATCTCCACGTGTTTGATCACTCCGTGCCTGTACGTTCAAGATGTTACAGGGAGATGTCTCCTGGCTGAAATACTCTAGCCAATAAAATCCTCAGGATGACGTTAACAGGATAGGTATCTCCGTGCTGCCTTAGTCTCCAGCACAAAAAGCTATGTGAATGGGGCCAGTTTTAACAAAAGATGGAACATTTTCTCACAAATTAAGAAGATCACCACACCAGCCATTAAAAATAATTGCACAGACTATCTTCCCTGATTCTTTTCATTGGAAATGAGACAGCACCATCTGCTCTGCGCATTAATTTCTTAGCAGGGATTATCTTGGGCAAGAAATCAACAGAATGCCTTCCTGACTCCTCCCAGCTGCATAATGAGAGGGGGTGGGGAGGAGTCTGTTTGGGTTAATTCTGATTTCTTCATGCCTGGTTTCTTCTCTTTCAAATACCTCCTGCCCCCCAGCTTTCTAGGCAGCACCTGCAGCGTGGCCAGTCAGTCCTCTCTCCAGTTCTGGTGTTGGAAAAGGACACTGGGAATGGGGTAACGACAAGGACGTGAGCGCCCTGAACCGCGAGTGCCTGATGAAAGTCTACCGTGCCAACGAGGGGCATGCTCCTGGCACATGCACGCCTTTACCCTTAGGAGACATGAAACCACTCATCTATTCTTTCCAATGGCTCGTGCTGTTTCAGCCTCAAAGGAGGAGGCCAATCATTACCTGTCACACATCAAATAGCTCTCCATCAGTCCCGAGAGCTGTGCTCAAGCCACCTCCCACTCTCTACTCCTAGAAGACAGACTGGCTGGCAAAAACACCCGAGGCTACTGTGCGTCCTTTCTTCTTGTTGGCAAGGATCAACCTAGATGATGGAAAATTGATTCAAGGGAGATGAGACAAAGGGGACTGTTCTTTCAAGGACCAGGAGGGGACAGGAGGGTTTAGGCTTATGATTTCCATTAACATTACTAGAAGTTACTCATGTAAATCCCCCACCTGGGGAGAGAGAAATACATGCTTCTCCACCCCAAGATTTCCTTTTTCCCATGTGATTAAGGCTCATGAATGTGAGGCTCCCTTCCAGGGAGAAGTGATAAGACTGAGCTGGTCTGATGCCATAGTGCTCATGTGAAGGCAGTGGCCATGCTGAGCCAGCAAGGAAATTTGCCTGGTGCCGCACACTGCTAACTGCCATCTTGTTTCCTTCTGATTTTCTGTGCTCTTATTTCAGGGGAGTCACAGGGAAGGACTAAAAGGGGCTCTTGCCTCTGCAATGCTTATAACCTCTAAAATCACGTGTGCTTACTCAAAAGTCATTGGATCCAGTGAGGAATGATTTATTTCCAGGAGAGGGACAGTGGGGCATCAGGAAGCAATAGCAGCCTCTCTGCCTCTGGCAAAAGGACCCCTTTCCAGAGAGCTCTGGTAACAGTGCACAGATGCTCAAGTATTCATCACCAAGAACATATTTGTGGAATGTTAAAGAAAGAAAGAAAATGACAAACCATGCCTCTCAGATCATAGCCATTTTCCTTGTAAGGAATGGGTGAGTATGGCATCTCCTAATAAACACTGTAACTCCACAAGGACAATCATCCTACATGGCGGGATGTGTCTTCTACTCATTCGTTTTTCAGATTGACCATGGGCAACGCTGGCGCACTTTGACTGGCAGTCCCCACGGTCGTCTTAGCTGGGGGCTCCGGGGCCAAAGGCGGGGTGGGGGAGCAGGTCAGGAAAAAGAACAGGGAGAACTTTGGAGGGAAATGGCCACCAAATACTCTTTCTTCAGCTTGCAGGCTGACCAAGGAGGAAAAACAAAGATATTTTGCAAAAGTATACCTTAGAGTGAGACCCAAAGGGCCAAAGAATGGACAGAATTCAGGGCCAAGTTCCCTTCAGTGAATACTGCATGGTCCAAAGGGTTGCGGAACTGGTATTCATGTAAAGGGGATCTTGTCTTTGGAGCCAAAAGACTAAATTCAACCTCTAGTATTTTGTTTGTTTGTTTTTTACACTTTGAATGAGCTCTTAAAACTTTCTGGGCCTTTATTTCCCCATTTTAAAATGACAATAATACCACCACCTACATTACAGGGTTATCATTTATTAGGTAGTTACTATGTTTCAGGAACTGGTTTATGTCGTGTGTGTTAATTCACTTAAACTTTACACAGCCCTAGGAGGTAGGTGACATTATTATTGATGATGGATGCACAGGGTGTTAAAATAATTTACCCAAAGTCCTATAGCTAGTGGCAGAGCCGAGAGCCAAATCCAGGCAGGCCAACTGCAGATCCCTCTCCACAACGTAAGATTAAAGAAAAAAGGGTCATCTAGGAACCACTGGCACTGGGCTGGCACATGGTGATGCTCAACAGTGGCAACTCACACCATTCTTCTCATCACTGGGATGGCATCTAGAATGTTTGTTTCTCATGCTTATGTTATCTGTGTGCTTTTGATAAGTCTGCAGTAACTAAAGTTAATGTATTTCAACCTATATGCTTTTATGCACTGTCTTGGGATTTCCACAATACTCTAGGTTGAACAATCTAGAGAACCAACTCTAGATGATATAAACGTGTGTCTCTAACTACCCACACGTTTGAAAAGCTTCATTTTGAAAATAATTATAGACTAAGAAGAACGTGGAAAAATAGTACAAACATTCCAAGAGACCTTCCTCTGTGTCCCCTGTAAACACATGATTTAACAAACGCTATGGGTTTCCTTATCCCTCTTTACAAGGCAAAAACAGCAAGAAGGAGGTTAAGGAAAGGGCCATGCTGAAGACTTAGAGAGAGGGCTCAGGATTCCAGCCCTCTGCAGCCTGCCCCACAATCTCCATGGTGCATGGCCCAGCAGCAGCAACTTTATGTAAGCATTTACATTCCTCATTTGCTCTACCATGTCATCCGTCTTGTTGCCCGCCAGTCCTTATTCTAATGATTCCCAAGACATCAGTTTTCCTAATTAAAAACAAATCACGCTATTTATTTTTAATAAACACATACACTATAGTGAGGGAGAAAAAAAATGCCTCTTTTCCTTGGAGTTTCTAAAGCTGGTTAGAGTTTATAAGACATGGCCCCTGACATGTTTCTTCAGTCAGTCTGTTCTGCTACTTAACTAAGAAGGATCGTTCCTTCTGTTGTTCCTACAACAACCCCTGCCTCCCTTCTGTCTCCCCACGGACGTGCTGGCTGCCATCTGGGACTCTGAGGGCAGGGAGGAGACTAACCTCTGTCATCAGCCTTGCTGTTCATTTCTTCTTCCTTGTCCTCGTCATCGCTGCTGGAGCTCTCCAGCTTTTCCTTCATCTGCTCCAGCTGATCCAAGTTAACCCGTCCAACCAGCTCGAAGTTACGGCTCACCTGAAAAAGCCCAAACAACGATGGAGGAATGAACCACAGACTGAACGGGGCTCGCCCTGGAGGAGAGAGCTTTCTACGTCATTTTCCTGTGCCTGTCTCTGGAACCCGGTCTGAACAACACCAGTGCATAAGAGGTCCTTTCCTGCACTTTGACTTGCTTTCAGAGGCAGATGCTCTCACATCCCACCATTTTCAATGGAACTGTCAATACTGGCCCTTCCTTACCAAACTTACTAAGACATGCAAGTGACACTCGGCCAGAAATCAAAAGTATCATGAAGCTTGGGGAGTAGAGGAGGTGTCCAGTAAACAGTTTTTTGTGTTGAATCCAAAGAAGTAACTTTTGTAAACTACCCAAGCTTCAAATACCATATTTTGCCATGTATAATGCGTACCTTTTGGCCTAAATTTTTGAGATTAAAGTAAGGACGCGTGTTATAATAGTCCTGTGTATAATGCGCACAGAAACGTGGGTGTGCAGTATACATGGCAAAATATGGTACTTCTGGAGGTGAAGAGGTTCTTAGCATCCTGGAAACTAGCAGGGAGAGTCACAGCCTTTTCCACTGTGATCTTGTCAATCCGGGGGCCATGGGTTGTCCCAGCGGAGGCCAGACAACAACTAACTGCAGTCCGAATAGGAGACAACCTTGATACTGTGAGTGTTACCACTGTTTTTGAAGATGACCACAGCCTATTTATCGAGGCTGGAATTATCTGAGAAAAATCTAGATGACTACATCCTCAAAACCCTTTAGAAGTGTTAACTAGGGCTGATTTTGGATTATATAAAATGTGGTTACAATAATGTGGAAATTCAAGGTTTCTGCAAAATATCATCTAATGAAAATAAAAATCCACATTTAGAAAACTGTAATGATGTTCTGTTTGGGGTTCCTCTATTAACGGTAGCACAAAATTTACCTCCTTCATGAATCTAGTTTCAGACATGTTCAGTGGCATGCATACAATTATCAAGAATGGACAGGTCATCCCAGAACTCAAATCAACAAAATGACTCATGCCAAGACACAGCTACCGGCTGCCCCTCTGTGGCAGGTGCTGTGCTCCCCCTGTCGGAGGGAGGGACAGGGGCGGGACCCACAAAGATGGACGAGGCACAGTTCTGGCCTCCAGAGTCTCACAGTACAGTTGAGGAGGGAAGACAGACATCATTAATTAGATTCCAGGGCCGATTTCCATAGCTACTACAGTAGAGAGAGAGTGTAATGAGGGCTCAGGAGAGGAAGGGGAGAATTTATAAGACAATTCCAAAATATTCTCTGGGACCAGACTGGAACAAAGATTTGCTGAGCACCACCGACTCCATATGCCTGGCAGATGGGAACATCACCATTAACTGTGACAAATGGGAGAGAGACTCAGAGTATCAGGGCCAACAGACAGTCCTCTGAAAAGGCTTAATACTGTCCCAACCACGTCAGGTAAGAAAAGGCAGCATTTAAAAGGAAGAAGAATGCTCGGCATAAAAGCTCTCTTAAAACAAGAGAACCAACGCATTGCTCCAATTATAATAATGAAATCCAGGAAACCAGTTACTTTGAAAATGATGCAACATGAGGGTGGAAGAGAGGTCTGCATCAATTTCAACGCTAAACACTCAGGGACAGCAAGTTCTTCTTTTGCTTATTAAAAAAAGTTATAAAAATTAATAGACTTACGTGAGGAGGAGGAGGAGGAGGAAGTAGTCTGGTTCAGAACCTTTCTTTCTCCTTCCTCCCCTCTAAGAGTTCACATGGAAGGTGCCAAAAGCGCTTTTGCTTATAGCACCTTCCTAACTTGGGATTATTCACTGTGCCTCACTCCTACAGGCCTATGTGAAATTTTACCTGTTCATTTTCATAACATTAAGTAAAAGGTGGTAGCACAAGGAGCATGAGCTTTGAAGTCAGGCAGACCTAAATTCAACTTCAGGGTTTGCTGTTACTCAGATTCCGGGCAAACTATTCAACATAAATGTCTTCGTTTATAAAAGGGAGGGAGGGTCAGCGTAGCACCTGAAACACAATAGTTTCCCCAAAAGGTTGTTTCCTTCCCCTTTCTGGGAATGCGGCCTTTTCCAATTTTGGCTTTTGGAAAGGAGTATAATAAACATTGTAAATGCATATTTATGAAGTTACGTTTAGCCACAAAGTCTACCATTTTAACCAAATAGCACTTAACGACAAATACCTGAATAAAAGTTTTCTGCGTTGCCAGTTTTTAAGGAGAAGGAGGCAAGATTCCAATTTGCCTAATTTGGAAGTATGTGTAAAGAAGTGTCTTTTTAAATGACCAGTACTTAAAAGGCAGCCTTTCTGGCCACCTTCTCCCATGTCTCACCTTCAGCTGGGGCACCTGTAGGCGTGTGTGTAACGGACGTGAAGGGCGGGCAGAAGCCAGGAGGCAAAAATAATGAAACCAAGAGTGCCAAGAAGGAATTCCCATACTGTTGACTCCAGTAAGTTTTCATTCCTTCATTGAACAAGGGCTTCCCGAGGGCCCTCTGTGCCAGGCCCTGGTCCCGAGTATCAGAGCCCTGGCTTCCCGAGGGGCTCACAGTGACACAAGACCGGTCACCAAAGTGAATGTTAGTTTCTTTTCTTTTCCTTTCACTGGGAAACTGTTAACATTTTGGATTCTGCAGTTTTAAAAGAGTACAAGACATTTTCACGGTCTGATATCTATCTGGGGCTCACCTGGGATTCAGTTGTCCTGAAGATTTCTAAAATCTTTGCAATTAAAAGATTTAAAGAAGAAAAAAAAAAAAACCACCACTTAACATTTTTGCTATGATGAGAAATAGTGTTGGGCTCTTCCTCTACTCTACACCCCCAGATCAGCAATCCACTATTCATCTTAACACAAAAGACTCCTTACTGCATTACCTGGATTATTGCCTGTCTCCTCCCTTCCTCCTGGCTGGTTCCCCATCATCTAGTCCTACTCCCCTCGCATCTATTCTGATGCCTTCTCTGATGTTTAAAAATTTCAACCTGTTTGTGTCAGTCTCCGCTTGCCCCGAGGATCAAGTCCTCATTTCTTACTGAGATTTACGTGGCTGGCGGTCATCGTGCCCCAGCCCACCTTCTCCAGAGCGACTCTCCTTTTGCTCTCACCACCCCGAACTTACTGAGCTTCTTGGAATCCACCTTGCTCTTGACTTCGTGCCTCTTCCTCTGTGCCTATGTCACTTCCTCTGTCTCAAAATCTCTCAAGCCCACCTCCCTCATGCGGTGACTTGTCTTCCAGCCTGGCTTCAATGTCACAGGGGGGCCCTTCTCTAAACTTGCTATCCTTGCTCTGCGCCTCCACTGTACCCTACATGCCCCTTTTGTAATTCACCCTACTCAGTAATTGTTTATGGCTGCCCGCTCTGCGCCCAGACTGCAAACTCCACATGTTACTCTGCATCCAGGCCCCAACTGGATCTCTACAGGCCAACGTCGTGTCTAGATCAGCATCTGGATCAAGTGTGGGTGCTGTTCTCGCCTCCTGGCTTCACTTTAATCTAATCTACCTCTCTTTCCTATAAACTTTCACTTGGGAAATAGAAAAAAAGCATTTGAAATCCAACTACTTATACATAGTAACTATTAACAAGTTACTGTATTTCTCTGTTTTCTATGCACAGATTATATTGCTGTAATTATACCGAAACACATTTGAGTGGATCCTGTGTTTTTACGCCTGTCATGGCACAAACATCCTCTGTGTCAGGGGATATGTTATAGTTTACTGTTCCCATGTGAGTTTACCTTTGGCTATTTCTGGCCTTTCACTATTAAAAATGCTGTAACACACCTTATTGTATATAATCCTTTTTTTCCACGTTTAGTTGTAATTTTATAGGATAATTTGCAGATGTGAAATTACAGGGTCAAAATCAAAGAGTATGGACTTTATTAAAATTCCAGTATATTTCTAAGTTGGCCTCTGGAATGATTATACAAGCCACCTGCTGGACCTGGAGATTGGTGGCTACCTAATTTTTTAATGGTACAGAGGACAAATAGAGGGAAATTCACCTTTTCCTCTGGAGATGAGAATAACTTATTACCTTGTTTCCCAAAAGACCCACAACAGAAGGAGAAAAAAAAAAAATAAGTACAAGAGTTTAAGATTTAGAACCTGGCTCCTTGAGGCCCTTTGAAAGCAAAAGAAGCCACATGTCATTTTGAAGGGTGGATTGTTCAAATACATAATCACTCAGACTATAAAAGTATATGCAGATCCTTATATCCTGTGAAAGTTATCTGTGAATGCTCCAAAGCCCAAAGTCCCCCGTGAAGGCTACTAACCTAGAGTTGTGGTAAAATCTGCTGTCCAACAGGAATGTGAGATCGAGTACCATTGACCAGCACAGGCTTTAGCCTTGAAGTTCACCTTGAACTGATGACCCTGCAAACTTTTCCACTCTCATGCTTAATGTTCAACCTTCACAACTACATTTGTCTCCTTCTTTGTTGGTTTTTAAGCATTTAGCAGATGGTTTAGATCTGTCCCTAGCATATGAAAAGAATTTCTGTGCTTGAGGCTGACTTCTGAGAGAGAAGCATTATATGACTTACGAATATACCAAGTTGAACATATATTTTCATATTGTCTTAGGTTGGCAAACCCAGTCTTACAGGAAGGACTGAGAAAAACTTGCGTGTTAATGAAAAATACAATGGGATACTCCGGTCTTCAGACAACTTAGCAAACGTTAAGTGGGGGAGACAGTGATGAGGAAAAAACCACCCACCATTTCTTGAGTTCCCCCTTCCACTTACGTAACATTTGTAAGGGACACCCAATTAGGATGTTCACATCACCTAACATTTCATGTCCATGTTAAAAAGAAAGGCCAAAGTTAACTTTTTATTTGAGGAAAAGTGACACCAGAGAACATGGAAAACCCGCCTCTTACATCGGAAATGCCCATCTTAGTCACAAATGGAGAATGTGTTGTGCAGCAAAGATTTTAAAGGACTTACAGAACAGGCTGGCAAAGTTTC